CAGAAGAATAGATGACATGTCTGCTGATATTCTTGATCAGATAATCCAGGAAATTAAATCTGCTCCACTTCCAATATTTAGTATCCAGCTTGATGAGTCTACAGATGTTGCAAACTGTTCCCAGTTACTGGTTTGCGTGAGGTATATTAATGATAGCGACTTTAAAGATGAGTTTCTTTTTTGCAGACCTCTTGAAACAACAACTACTGCACGTGATGTATTTGACACAGTTGGTTCATTTCTGAAAGAGCATAAGATCTCTTGAGAAAAGATTTGTGGTGTTTACACAGATGGTGCTCCAGCTATGCTAGGATGTCAGTCTGGATTTCAACATTTGGTACTGAATGAGTCACCAAAAGTCATCAGCACTCACTGTATGATTCATGGGCAAATATTAGCAATGAAGACGCTGCCACAAGAGTTACAAGAAGTAATGAAAAGCGTCATAAGTTCTGTCAATTTTGTAAAGGCGAGCACTTTAAACAGTCAGCTATTTTTGCAATTGTGCAACAAGTTGGATGAGCTTAAGAATGCACTGCTATTTCACGCTGAGTGAGATGATTGTCGAAAGGAAAAGAATTTTGTTGTTTGTTTTGTTTTGTTTTTTGCAGTTTTTTGGCCTAGGACCAGGCTTGAACCTGCCACCTCTGGTATATGGGGCCAGCACCCCACTCCTTTGAGCCACAGGCATTGCCCGAGAGGAAAAGTTTTAAAACGTGTTTTTGAGCTTCGTGATGAACTCAAAATATTTTTTAATTAGAAAGCAAGGCCCAGCTCGGTGCCTGTGGCTCAAGTGACTAAGGCACCAGCCACATACACCTGAGTTGGCAGGTTCAAATCCAGCCCGGGCTCACCAAACAACAATGAGGGCTGCAACCAAAAAATAGCCGGGTGTTGTGGTGGGCACCTGTAGTCCCCGCTACTGGGAAGTGGAGGCAGGAGAATCACTTGAACCCAGGAGTTGGAGGTTACTGTGAGCTGTGATGCCACAGCACTCTACCCAAGGTGACAGCTTGAGGCTCTATCTAAAAAAAAAGAAATAAAAGAAAGCAAGACCACAGTTTGAAGCACTTTTCAGCAATAAAAGTAAACTGCAGAAAATAGCTTATTTGGTTGACATCATTGCCATCGTGAATGAGTTAAATCTATCACTTCAAGGACCAAATGCAACATGCCTCAATTTGTCTGAAAAGACCTGATCACTCCAAATGAAACTTCAGCTTTGGTAAACAAAATTGGATGAAAATAAAATTTATATGTTGTCTACCTTATCTGCTTTCTTTGAGGAACATGATATTGAACCAGACAAAAGGATTACGATGATAATTTCTGTGAAAGAACACTTGTACTTGCTTGCAGACGAAATTTCATTGTACTTTCCAAATCTACCCGACACCCCATTTGCACTTGCCAGAAGCCCATTCACAATGAAAGTTGAAGATGTTCCTGAGACAGCACAAGAGGAGTTCATCGAACTTATAACAGCGATGCAGCAAGAACGGATTTCTCTACAATGCCAGTTACAAAATTCTGGATCAAATGTTTGCAGCCATATCCTGTTCTGTCTGCATTGCGCCTTCTTCCATTTCCAACAACATGTCTTTGTGCAACAGGGTTTTCCAGCTTGTTGGATATCAAGCTTAAATACAGAAGTAGACTTGTTGTGGAAAATGATCTTTCTTGTGCTCTTGCTATGACTGCCCCAAGAATTTCTGATCTGGTGATGAAAGAAGCAATCTCAACCTTGGCACTGACCTTGGCTTTTTACACATACTGTCGCAAAATGTAGCAATGTAGTTTACTGTTGTTATATTAAGACTATTACCCATGCTACACCATGCTTCAAGACAAAATTTCATTTATTTCTAATTAGAAATAAATACTTGACAATATATAATTACATATTG